GACGCCTAACTGCTCCCCTGCCGGCCCGGTCGCCCCCAACTGCCCTCCCCTGCCGGCCTGGTTGCCCCTAACTGCCCTCCCCTGCAGGCCTGGTCCCCCCAACTGCCCTCCCCTGCCAGCCTGGTCGTCCCTAACTGCCCTCCCCTGAAGGCCTGGTTGCCCTCAACTGCCCTCCCCTACTGTGGCCTGATGCCACAACTGCCCTCCCATCTTGTGGCAGCCATCTTTGACCACATGGGGGCAGACATCTTGTGTGAGGGTATGACAGTCAATTTGCATATCATCACTTTATTATATAGAATAGTATAATACAATATATTAAAAAAAAAACATTTAGAAAGGTATTTATGAACCTCCAGCTGTAGGTATCCTCATTAAATGTGTTATCAAAGGGTATTAACAAATCCTAACCTTCCATAAATTTGAATTTTAAAACTCTCCAATATCCTAGGGATCCATTAAAATCACACAAAAGTAGCCGAACACAAAATAAAGGTACACATACATACGAATGATTTTGAATTTCTCTGTCTTACCTAATGTGAAAAATGGTGGCTGGAATTTTTGAAGGGAGAGACTGTACACAGTAACTGGCCTGGCAGGTTTTGCTTCTACTACTTCCCCTCGCTTCACCAAAGTGGAAAGTCTCTGTCCATCTTTCTTTAATGCAGAATAGCTTACAAAGAAGAATTAAGAAAAAATGACAGAATTTAATTCCAGATTACAGCATGGAGAGGAAGGCTAGCAGCCCTTTAAATTGCAAGTCCTTCTAAGAAAAATGAACTGGTTATTTCTTCTACTCTACTCCTCAAGGGTGTCAGGAAGAAAGCTCCTAAATATCTTTGAGACAAACAGGACTCAGTCTGGCGCCCAATGAGCAATCTTGTCAATTCTATTCTCTAACCATCTTCCTGGAGGTGGTCTGGTCATGTCCTCATTAGACCTCATCCTGGGTAAAGGACACAAGGCCTCTGGTCACAAGGATCTCAGCTATATTCCCTTGAAACAATTTCCATTCCAATAATATTCATTTTCACATAAAAGTTATCAAAATGTTCCTGAAAAACAAATAAGCAAGTAATCTATTTAACAGATCTTAGCCGTGTGAGATAAAATTTTATTAGACTATAAAATCCCTGGAACAATCACAGAGAAGAAAGTTCTAAAACAGTTCTTATGAATACAAATATGTTTAATTTATTTCAACACTAAGATCCAAAACAATGTTTATTCATCGCTTGCTAAAATGTTTAAGTCTTTACCTTGGAGGCAAAATTATCATTTGCTATGCCAAATTTAAAACCTGTCTCACTATACATTTTTTAAAAAAGCAAATTTTTTTTTAAATTAAAGTGATGTCAACCATTGAAAAATAAAGCTAAACATTTACTCAAGTTTAATAACTGAACTTACAGGGGAGGTACCTGCATTATATTCCCAGTAAATTTCTGTAAAATGCCTTCAATATCTTCTTGTGTTATTTGATCTGCCAAAAGTGAACAACAAAAAGAGTGACACTAAGACAACCACAGAAGTACATGTGCTATTTGCACAACACCAAAAGCTCTGAAAATTCATTATAATTTTTTCAGACAAAAGCATATACTATAGTGTATGTTTTATTAGCAAATTCTACCTTGTTAAAATGAATAAATTACACATTCATGAGGTAAAAGGGAAGAAAGCCTTATACTGTCTAATATTAAAACCAAATTTCCTTTGCTTCCATTTATTTTCTCCAAACAAAATGATTCAATCATATAAATGTATTTAGTTGGTTCTTACTATGGCCTTTAGAGGAACTTAGGAAATGTTGCATTAGCTACAGAAATGGCCCTGCAGTGACCAAAAACGAGGTGGTCAGAAAGTAGGAAAAAAACCCGTAAGTTATCTTCTACGTTTCTCCAGGCATCAAATATTATAAGCAACTTAATGCAGAATTGAAGATGATCAAGTATGAAACATTTAAAAATTGTACTGAATAGATTTCAAAACAGTTCTATGGTGTGATACCCATTTTATACACTCACACTGAATTCTGTCCCCCAGCAAAGCTGTATTTATCAGTCTCCTTTCCCCCCTTCATTGCTCTTGCAATCTCTGTTCTTTTTATTTTTTCTTTATTGATTAAGGTATTACATATGTGTCCTTATCCCCCCATTGCTCCCCTACCCCCCACTCATGCCCTCACCTCCCTGGTGTCTGTGTCCATTGGTTAGGCTTATATGCATGCATACAAGTCCTTTGGTTGATCTCTCCCCTTCCCCCCACCTTCCCCCTGAGTGAACACTCTCAATCAGGAGTCTCACTTTTGCCTCAAAAATAAGCCAGGGCAAAAAGAAAATGTACATACCAAAGACTTTTAGCATGATTACTAAGCATTTTTTAAACAACGATTTTAGAAAATCTGAATGAAGACATCAAAAAAGCTTTCAATATACCAAAGAACTTATAGGCATATATGCATAACCCATGGACACAGACAATAGTGTGGTGAAGGCCTGGGGAGGAGGGGGTCAGGATGGAGAGGGTCAATGTGGGGAGGGAAGGACAGGACATCTGTAATACTTTCAACAATAAAGATAAATTTAAAAATAAATAAATATCTCTAAATTTAAAAAATAAATATATCACTTAGTCATATTTTCAGCTTGTTTGATACTTCCAAATAAAATGATGCACTATTAACGTACATTTCTACAACTGAAAATTATTACTGAAATTCAATATTTGGGATTTTCATTCTTACATATTTCACAGTCAATGACACACTAAATTATAGAAATATTCTATAACTTAGGTCATAGATAATGGAAAGAAATTACAATGCTTTGTTTTCACTTTGTAGGAAATCTAAATTTTTTTCTGGTATATACTTGTTATATTTTATTTTATTTAAACAATATTAACAAAAAATAATTAATCCACTTTGAATTACTATTCTAACACCAGAATAAAAATGAAGCGAAAGCAAGATTCAATACCAACACAGCAAGACAGTCTTAACCTCACTGTGACCTTGATCCTTCCAAGTTCAAAAGGAACAAAGGACCAGAATCTACTATAGACTCAAACAGAGACGAGCTACAGAACTGAAAAGAATTTCTCCAACACCTAGCTGCTCCAAAAAGGCAGACCTCAGAAGGCTATTCTGTTCATCCTGTTTTTCAAACAGACGTAGCTCATGATACGAATGAGGATTTTTCCATTAAAATTTTACTCTCCTGCAACATTAAAACCTAATTACTGGTGGCATCTTAGTTTTGCAAAACTTCCAACTCTAGACACCATGCTGGCAATAGCAGAAAGAAATGCCATTGTTGATAACATTGCAATAGTTCATAACTTAGCAACACATTTTAAAACATAAGACCAAACAGCTTTTACTGCTAGGCTGGTCTCTTTACTGACATTCCTGCTAATGTGTCCTCTTTTGTCCTGTTTGGATGGCTCTTTTCCTGGCATCCCCCGCACACGATGACAAGATGTGCTCCTTCTCATTCTACTTCTGCCGCGTGTCGTTCTCTGACTTAACATCCCAGACATTTATGGGTTGTGTTTTTTATTCTGCAATTACTCATACACGATTTTAAACTGTACACACACACACACACACACACACACCCCCCCACTCATGCCCTCACCTCCCTGGTGTCTGTGTCCATTGGTTAGGCTTATATGCATGCATACAAGTCCTTTGGTTGATCTCTCCCCTTCCCCCCACCTTCCCCCTGAGTGAACACTCTCAATCAGGAGTCTCACTTTTGCCTCAAAAATAAGCCAGGGCAAAAAGAAAATGTACATACCAAAGACTTTTAGCATGATTACTAAGCATTTTTTAAACAACGATTTTAGAAAATCTGAATGAAGACATCAAAAAAGCTTTCAATATACCAAAGAACTTATAGGCATATATGCATAACCCATGGACACAGACAATAGTGTGGTGAAGGCCTGGGGAGGAGGGGGTCAGGATGGAGAGGGTCAATGTGGGAGGGAAGGACAGGACATCTGTAATACTTTCAACAATAAAGATAAATTTAAAAATAAATAAATATCTCTAAATTTAAAAAATAAATATATCACTTAGTCATATTTTCAGCTTGTTTGATACTTCCAAATAAAATGATGCACTATTAACGTACATTTCTACAACTGAAAATTATTACTGAAATTCAATATTTGGGATTTTCATTCTTACATATTTCACAGTCAATGACACACTAAATTATAGAAATATTCTATAACTTAGGTCATAGATAATGGAAAGAAATTACAATGCTTTGTTTTCACTTTGTAGGAAATCTAAATTTTTTTCTGGTATATACTTGTTATATTTTATTTTATTTAAACAATATTAACAAAAAATAATTAATCCACTTTGAATTACTATTCTAACACCAGAATAAAAATGAAGCGAAAGCAAGATTCAATACCAACACAGCAAGACAGTCTTAACCTCACTGTGACCTTGATCCTTCCAAGTTCAAAAGGAACAAAGGACCAGAATCTACTATAGACTCAAACAGAGACGAGCTACAGAACTGAAAAGAATTTCTCCAACACCTAGCTGCTCCAAAAAGGCAGACCTCAGAAGGCTATTCTGTTCATCCTGTTTTTCAAACAGACGTAGCTCATGATACGAATGAGGATTTTTCCATTAAAATTTTACTCTCCTGCAACATTAAAACCTAATTACTGGTGGCATCTTAGTTTTGCAAAACTTCCAACTCTAGACACCATGCTGGCAATAGCAGAAAGAAATGCCATTGTTGATAACATTGCAATAGTTCATAACTTAGCAACACATTTTAAAACATAAGACCAAACAGCTTTTACTGCTAGGCTGGTCTCTTTACTGACATTCCTGCTAATGTGTCCTCTTTTGTCCTGTTTGGATGGCTCTTTTCCTGGCATCCCCCGCACACGATGACAAGATGTGCTCCTTCCCATTCTACTTCTGCCGCGTGTCGTTCTCTGACTTAACATCCCAGACATTTATGGGTTGTGTTTTTTATTCTGCAATTACTCATACACGATTTTAAACTGTACACACACACACACACACACACACACCCCACAGGTATTATCTCGATAATGAAATTCTAAGCTCCTTAAAGGCAAAAACAGCTTTTCTTTTCATCTAATGTACACAACTGCAATGGCACTCAAGATAGTCTTGCTGCATTTAATTTGCTGTGGAATAATAGATTCAAGGTCTAAAGGGAATTAAAAGTGACCTAGGCCAATCATTCATCTAATGTTTGAATCACCAGACAGAAAGCCTATGCAAAGTTATTTTACAATAAAAGTGAATATAATATTTTAGCATAAAAGTGAGTATAATAAATATTATAAATAAAAATTAGATTCCCTACTATACGAGTATGTAGTAAGTATGCTGGCTATATCTACAACAGAGCACTGTCACCGAACAGAAATCAGACCTTGGGAAGCAGCAGCAGCTGGAATCCAAATAATAATAATTGTCCCTATGACATAAAAATAAAGACTCTACCTCCATAGGATTTAAGAAGGAATGGAGAATAAAACCTCCAAAGCAAGGATAGCCAATAAGGAGCCCAGAGAAGTCCATTTGGCAGAAGAGATGGGTCTGATACAAATGCCGCAGGGTGTGGGCAATCATTCTTTGTCTAGCAAATTAATAATCATCAATGTGACAGTATTAATTTGAAATTAATTTTTAAAGCTTCATTCGCATAAAAATAATTTATCCAAGATCACGTTACACGTTGTTATTTGCTTAAAATGTAGTGCTTCTTTCCGTGAACTTACAGGATGATGGTGCTTAATTGAACTAGAAAGTAAAAAAATGACATGATAGAGTTCAAAACAATACTCGGCCACAATAGAGCGCTGCCACCATAAGCAGCTGTTAAACTGGAAGAAACTATAATAAACAGCTGCTTTGCAACATCAGACCGCAGGCAGCAAGCATTGCCCTCCCTGAGAGAAGGGAAGGAAGCAAGGCCAGGCCCACCATCACTTGCTCCAGCTTGGAGGAGCTTTCTGAACGGTGGTGCGGAGAGGGAAATCCCAAACAAAGCACTGTGATCTCGCCACCAGAAATCAGACCTTGGGAAGCAGCAGCAGCTGGAGTTGGAGAGAACTGCACAGATGTCTATAGGGCTCCAGCTGAGACTTGGCTAAATTCCAAGCTGCACATATATACAGCACAAGCTGCCACAAAATTAACCAAAGAACTGGTACCAAAGCTCCCACAAGGCTGAAAGACGTTTGAATTCCAACCATCCGGAATGAAGAAACTCGGATGAACAGCCAAGGCACTCAATCGAGATCCTAGAAAAGCCTGTCTCAGGAGTAAGACTAATCTAGACCTAAAAAACAGTCTACTTTACACCCACCCTAATAAGAAATCTACACAAAAGCGACCACAATTAATAAGCGAGGTTAGCAAGGTTGAAAGATAAAAGACCATTATACAAAAATTAACTCCATTTCCATATTCTAGCAATGAACTATCAGAAATTTAAAATTTTAAAAATCCAATTATAACAGCATCAAAATAATGCTATCAAGAAGTAAAAGATCTGTATGCTGAAAACTACAAAAATATGGCTCTATTTTTGCAACTTTTCTTTAAGTTTGATATTATTTCCAAATTAAAAAATATAAACAACTTTATACCAGTAAATTGCAAAATTTAGATAAAATGAATGAGGAAGAGGTTGTCTCAGTACTGGGGTAATAGGAAATATATAGTGAGGACACTCAACACAAAAGTACAGAGAAGCCAGGTGCTGGATTGCCTTTAGGTAAATTAAGGAGGTGATAACATTAAACACAGGCAAAAATCACACCCCAGAAAGCCTACATATAACTCACAATTGGTGACATAATAAGGAAGGTGAACTGACTGCACAAAACTGCTGCATTATAAATAGCATGAGAACTGGGACAGTTGCTAGGAAACCATTTCATTTATCTATCCTTTCTTAAAGTAGTAAAAAAAAAAGGCATAGTAGAAAAATTAAGCTGGGCTCAGTGAGTTATGCTTTATTTCCAGAGAAATAGCTTCCCCTTTGTCGTATCTTTTTATGTACTCCAAAAGCAGAGAGACATGACTAGTTTTAAAGCACTAAACATGGTGCATTTATCTCAACAGCTAAGAAGTAACTGTAAAATAAACAAATAAAACAAACAATTGCAAGACACAGGTAGCATCTAACAGGAGAGCCTCTCTGCGATGTTTCTCATTTACTAGGAAAACGGTCCTAAATCCTGGCAACAAGTGTTTTTCAGAAAGGAAATTATTTGCAAGAATTCTGAACATTATAAAAACTGACTATAGAAAAAGAATTATAATAAATATTAAGAAACTCATACCAAATAAACAATGTAATATACCATTTCCCATCATTTTTTTAAAAAAAATGTACTGGAAACTAAAATCACTGGCAGTATCAGATAAGTTAGAGAATTCTGAATTCACAAAAAACTTTTCTAGATGTTAAAAAGGAGTACTTTAGATGAACGCCATACCGTAAGGTTTTTCTTCTGTTACTTTTCCTGTAGAATCCAGTGTGTCGGTAGCTTTCCCCAGCTCTCCAATGGCAATATACCTCTAGGGGCAGAGACACAGGGAGAAACACAGGCCACCACGGTAAAGAAAACTGTCATGCATGTCCCGAAAGTCATACAGAATGTTACTAATACGACCAGCTTGATACAAAAATAAAGGCAAAAAAATAATAGACTGCAAGTGTTTTGTTAGTTTTTGATATGTGGGAAGTACGTGTGTAAGTTGGAGAACATTAGCAAACTTCCCACACAAGCCAACATGACAAAGAAAAACCTGATTTTATCAATAACTGTGGCTTATAAATGGCCTATTTTTTTAATTTAAATTCTTTATTGTTTAAAGTATTACATATGTCTCCCTTTTCCCCCATTGACCTCTCCCCAGCCGCTAAATGGCCTATTATTGCACACAGATTTCTAAAACTAGTTTTGGTTGGGAAGGAAAATTTTCATACATACTAATGAGCATGGTATAATACACCCAATACATGGCCATCACAAGAGTAAACAATTTTACCAAAAGTTACTTCTAAGAAATGGTCATTATTCACAAGGAAAGAATTAGATCATTCTTAGTTAACTGAGGACTGTTTTACTACTCATTTCAGGGCACACTGGACTACAGTCTTTATACGTCTCTCATTTGGTCAAATTCAAATGTTAATTGGAGCATCACATAGAATAGTGAGAAAAATGCAAGGTAGGTAATCCCCACTGAGCAAAACCTGTAGCTATGTGAGCAATTTTTTTTTTTTTTAACTTAACTCTGGTGCCGTGTCACATATAGAAATTTTTTGATATTTGCAACCATAGTAAAACAAAGACTTATATTTTTGATATTTATTTTATATATTTAAATGCCATTTAACAAAGAAAAATCAACCAAAAAAATGAGTTTGCGTGTCACCTCTGACACGCGTGGCATAGGTTCGCTATCACTGTCCTAGGACATGCTTATTGACTTGAGAGAGAGGGGAAGGGAGGAGGGAGGGAGGGAGGGAGGGAGGGAGAGAGAGAGAGAGAGAGAAGCATCAATGTGAAAGGGAAACATCAATCAGTTGCCTCCCAGCAACCTTTCAGTGTACAGGCCGATGTTCCAACCAACTGAGCAACATCTTCTTTCCTACATTTTGATACCCATGTGCACCAGAGAATCATAATGGCAGAGCCAGAAGGGGCTTTAGAGATCATCTGACTTCTCTCTATAGATCAGCGGTTCTCAACCTGTGGGTCGAGACCCCTTTGGCGGTCGAACGACCCTTTCACAGGGGTCGCCTAAGACCATCCTGCATATCAGATATTTACATTACGATTCATAACAGTAGCAACATTACAGTTATGAAGTAGCAACGAAAATAATTTTATGGTTGGGTCACAACATGAGGAACTGTATTTAAAGGGCCAAAAGGTTGAGAACCACTGC